GTTAAATAACTTGCCCAAGGTCATAAAATACTGGACACAGTCAACATACATACACTATGGGCTTAAAGCCCCTTCTCAACTGGCTCATTTATTACTGGCCAATCTTTCCTTTCTCTCTCTCTCTCTCTTTCCTTTCCTTCCTCCCTCCCCTTCACTACCTCACACACTCATACACAGCTACCCATCTGGTCTTGTTTAAAGCCATGTCAAGAACGCAATCATCTATTTCTCCACCTAACTCCAAAGAGCAATTAGTGGATTTGAACCACCTGGCTCCGAGTTGGCAGTGTAATTCCTTACCACTAAGCCACCAGAGTTCTCTAATGAAACACATTAGCCACCCTAATCTATCCCACACAAGTTCTTGATTTGGGTGGCTTTGCTCAGACCACTAGCTGTTGTTGTTGTCATCATTATTGTTAAGTATCGTCGACTCTGACCCACAGCTAAACCTCTAGTGAGTTTTCAGAGGTAGTAAATTGCATGGGAGGAGAGTGCCCCTCTTTCTCCAGTGGAGCAGCAAGTGGATTTGAACCATGTGCCTTTGGGAAGGCTTCACACCTCCTCACCACTAAACCACCAGAGCTCCCTCAGAGCAGAAGGCAAGTAACTGAAAGGGTAAAGTGATGCACTTTAGCATCAAAGACATCTGGTATGTATTCACTATTTCTTGAATGAATGATAAAATAAATTTTAAAAACAAAAACATAAAAACATCTACCTCAAAAAAGCTGCTGTGAAGAATAAACAAGGTAATGTATATTTAGTGCTCCACACATTCAAACGAAAGCCTGACGTCATTAAGTCTGAATTATGACAACGCCAAGTGTGGTAGGACAGAGCTGTGTTCCATAATGTGTCCAGTGGGTGGTCTTTCAGTAGTGAGTTCCCAGGCCTTTCTGACAACACATGCTTAGGTAGCGCGGCAATTTGCACCACCCCAGGCCTCCCAGCATAGACGCGCCCTCAGATTGGTATATCGTCCCTCTCAGCCTCAGACGTGGGTCCCAATTTTACCATACGTTTCCTTCCTACCAATACATCAAGACCTAAAGCGAATTAATTACAACTCTCTAATCCCTAACTGCGGGAGAAGCCTGGACAATCTCCTCCCGTGTGATTAACTGCCTTTGAAAACCCACCGGAAGGTCAGCCACGAGCTGGTTCCAATCCGACAGTACACAACAACAACAAGCCCTAATCAAGCCTGTTCAATATAGGAGAACTCACATTGATTAAGCATCATCTGTATGTCAGGCACAATGCCAAATATTGTTGTTGTTGTTGTTGTTATGTACCATCTAGTTGACTATGACTCATATCAATCTATAAATAATGGATATGAACCCTGCCCTGTCCTGTGCCCCCTCATCATCTCTGATATACTTGAGCCCACTGTAGCAGTCACTGTTGAACATCCTGTTGAACATCTTCCTCTCTTATGCTGATCCGCCACCTTTCCAAGCATGATATGACGTCTTTGTCCAAGGACTGGCCGTTCCTAACAGCATCTCCAAAGAATGTGAGAGGAAGCTTCAGTATCCTTGCCTCCAAGGAGCACTCTGCCCTTTCTCCAAGACACACTTGTTTGTCTGTTTGATAGCCCAGGGGACAGTCAGTACTCTACTTCAACATCACAACTCAAGGCCTCGATTCTTCTGACATCCTTAGTCATTGCCCAACTTTCAGATGCACAGCAAGTAGTTTAAAAGACCAGGGCTTGGATCAGGTGCACCTTAGTCTTTAAAAAGATATTGTTGCTGCCCAGCACTTTGCAGATATCCTTTGCAGACTTTCCCAATGTAATGCATTTCTGATTTCTTGGCTTGTGGTGCCAAAGATGTTGGATCCAAGTATGATGAAATTGTTGACAAGTTAAATATTTTCTCCATCTATCAGGATGTTGCCTATTGACTTAGAGTGTACTTTCAGGGATGACAGATATAGAAGATATAAAAATGAGCAAGACATACCTTTGAACTTAAGGAGTTTATAGCCTGAAGGGAGCTAACAGCCAATATCAACACTACACAGTAAATGCAGTGATAGAGGTAAGTGCATGAAGAATACAGAGAAAAGGACAGAGCAAGAAAGTAAGAAACGAGTGAGATTACAGAAGATCTTAGGAGCCAAGATTAAGAGTCTGAACTGAATTCTGCAACAGTGAGAAGCTATTAAGTATAGTGTGATAAAGTAAGTTAGGAAGATGACACACCAGGGGGAGGAAAGAAGGAATGGTAGGTTTCAAATATTCAAACACAGGGTAAACAGCACAGATTTTGACATTTGATTGGACATTGAGGAAGAGGGAGGGAACAGCCATTACATTTTATCAGCTCCCTGAAAGTGGTTCTTTCTCCTCTTGGGGGACTCATTCGCACTGTGATAGTACTGTGCCTCTTTACAAAGCATAAAAGAAGTTCAAGGGACAGGAAAAACTTCAGGGTGAATAATCCATGGTACACTCTGGGTTGGACTGTCTTCTCTGAGTAAGTTTTTTTATTTCTTCAGGAGTCAGTTCCCTCTTCCTGAGGAGTCACTTCAATTCCATACCTACATGTTGGATATTTACTGTAATTCACAGCCCACATCAAGGAGCTCTGGTGGCCTAGTGGTAAGGAATGGTGCTGCCAACCCAAAAGCATGTGGTTCAGATCCCCAAGCTGCCCCACAGGAGAAAGATGGACAATCTCCTCCCATGCAATTTACTGCCTCTGGAAACTCACTGAAGGGTCAGCTCTGAGTCAGTTCTGACTCAACAGTACATAACATCCCAGAGGAGCTCTGATGACTTAGTGGTAAGAAGGTCTCTGCCAACTCAAACCCACCAGCTGCTCCTTAGCAGAAAGATGAGCACTCTCCTCCCACGCAATTTGCAGCCTCTGAAAACTTGAAGTGTTAGCTATGAGTTGGCACATTAAACGACAATAATGACCCACAGGACGCTAACAAAGGAAAAAACAAACAACTACCTGTGGACATCAAGGAAATCCAGCAGAACCTAGCTAGCTAGCTTCAGTACGTATGAGTTTTTCAGAATTAAATTTAACTTTGTATATTTATTTGATATACATAATATACATATATATTATACATGTACATATCAATCACTTGCTATGCATCAGAGAGTTGGACAATGATCAAGGAGGATAGAAGGAGAATTGATGCCTTTGAGCTGTGGTGCTGGAGAAGAGTATTGAGAATACCATGGACTGCTAGGAAAACAAACAGATTTGTCCTGGAAAGGGTTTAAACCGGGTGGCTCCTTGGAGGCAAGGATTCTGAGGCTCCGTCTAACATATTTTGGACATGTTGTGAGGAGAGAACGGTCCTTAGAGAGGGACATCATGCTTGGGAGGGTGGAGGGACAGCGCAGGAGAGGAAGGCCCTCTATGAGGTGGATTGATTCAGTGACTGGGATAATTGGGATGGGAGTGTCAGAGACAGTGCGATTGGCACAGGACAGAGCGGAGTTTAGGGCTGTTGTACATAGGGTCACTATGAGTCGCAAGCGACTCGGCGGCACATAACAACAACAACAACATATTTATTTGATTCAATATTCAAAGTTTGCATTACCCTGGCTTCCTATGAGAGTCAAGAGGTGTCTAGAGTTAAAATCCAAGTCCAACAATGTGAAAGAAAATTTCTTGCACACAGATGGTTGTTATCTATAAAATTTCTATAATTGAAATGAAATCCAAAAGCAACTTCTGAAGTAATTCCTTCTTAAACAGTGCAGTGAAAGGTCTCCAGTCAGCTCTCTGTCCCATCAGCAAACAGGCCCCATCCCACCCCTCCCTACCTGCTGGGCTTCTTCATGGAAGAGTTCCTGCACCTGAGACGTCTGTGCCATTCTCCCGGAATGGGGGTCCTGGTGATCTGGGCAAGGAGGCTCGCCTGAAAGGTAAATACCATCCTGGGTCATCTCCTCCCTCCCTCTCATGGTGTCCCATCCTTCTTCTATCCCAGAAATGCCCAAGGTCAGGAAAGGGTCTTTTCTGCCTCGTGGGAACCTGCCTTTTAGCCTCTTCCACACTCAGCTTGATCCCATGCATCCTTGAGAGTTAGCTGAGCTCTGCTCTTGCCCCCTGAAAGCTACAGCCTCTGACTTGCCTGATCTCCTTCAGTGGGCAGTGTGTGGACTGCTCAGGTGCCCAGTTTGCGCAGCCCTTGAAGACACAGTTTGACACTCCTGTCCCATCTTTATTCAAGACTAAGGGTACTACAGCTCACTCCTTGAAGGTAGAACTGAGTCTTATTCTCCTGTCTTGCAGGACCTATAACTGGTTGGAGGTGGTGAGTGAATGAAGATTGGCCCCAGAACATACTGGGAGACAGAGTACTAGAACCTTGTCTTGGACAGAAAGGGGCAGGGGAAGGGAGAGACTGAGTGAGAAAAAGGATATTGAGGCATCATTATTATGGCTCAGCTCTCATTCCATTAGGAAGGTCCTCTCTCCACAGGAGGACAGGGACCCAGTATCTTGCTCTGTATCTCCAATGCCTAGCACAAAGTTGGAGCATAAACAGAGAAGGAGGGAAAGGGAGAAATGAGAGGGCGAGAGGGCAGGGCTTGTCCTATAAAAATGTGGCCAATGAATAAAATAGCAGCTAGTAATAGAAAAGGAAGGCAGAATTCAAGTGGGCTGGGGACATTTGTTGACAGACTGTGGGGGAACTGGGCTGTGGCCAAGAATTGTAAGGGTGCTGGGGGAGCGAGAGGGACCTGGGGCCAGGTCGAAGCGCGCTGGCGCCAGCTGCCCGCACACACAGGTCCAGCCTCGCCCTCAGGTATCGAGGTTAGGTACCGAGAGAACAGAGGGCGTCAGAGAATACACCCACCCTTCCCAGCCTCTGAGACGTGCGCGCTGGTCAGTGCCCTATGCCCTGACACTTCAGCCAGCTGGGCCCTGAGGACATGCCAGCTTTTGCACTAGCACCAGCCTCAGGATTCCGACGGCTCCCTCCTGGCCACCGTGCAGGGTCGGAGCACCTACCCTAGCACGAGCCTCAGGGTTCTAGCGGCTCTCCCTCCCGGCCGCCGCTGCGGTGTGGTGTTGGGGGAAACCGCACCTGCATAAGCGCCAACTGCAGGATTCCAAGGCTCTCCCTCCCGGCGGCAATGTGGAATGGTGGGAATCCACGCCGCACTACTAAGAGCCTCAGGATTCCAGCGGCTCTCCCTCCTGGCCTTAGTTCTGCGGGGTAGGGGACGCTCCATATCAAGTTCTCTGTGACCCCAGGGACAACAAAGGGCCTTCCTCTGGACCAGACACCGAAGCTTGAGTGTGTCCAAGTGCCCGTGTGCAGACACGGCCATGCACAAGTGCGCCGGGTGAGGAGGAGGGGGTGAGGCTCTGCTTGAGCCCCAGAATGTAAAGACCTTGGAGAGAGAGACAGAGAGAGAGAGAGCAGCTCTTCACCCCACCTACCCCTTTTCACCTCAGCCTCCGGTCCTCTCAAACCCAGCCAGCCCAGCCCGCCTTCACCTGCACCCGGGCGGGAATGGCAGTGCCGGCCCCGCCCCGCCTCCACGTGGCCGCACGCGTTCCAGCTGTTCCGCGGGTTCCCGCCTGGTCGCTGGCTTGGATCCCGGGCGGCCAGCCAGAGCACCCCAGCACGCCAGCGGCGCTTACTCTCCCAGACCCTCGAAGCCAAGGGGCAAGGAGGGGCGGTAAAGACTTCCACTCCCCAAAGGACTGGTTTGCACACCTTGGGCTGAGAGGGAGAGGGGTCTACACTCTTAGATGACACTGACAAGCCCAGAAAGAGAGGAAAGGAATCTTAAGAAGGTTGGGTCCCCCAGGCCATGGAGTACACTTGATCGGCATTGCCTCTACCCGCCTTCCCCAGGTGCTAGATCAGGGGCACACTGATCCTACCCACTGCATTTCTCTGTAAGGAATTGCTAACACTGCGCAAATAAGTGAAAAAGCCCACAGTTCGCATAACCTGCTTCTCTTTTGAACAGAGAAACTACATCTTGGTCCCGCAGCCCCCAGACGGAGGCGGGGACAGGGGATAGGATTCGCATAGGAGACTGTGACCCTCCTCGCTGGGGATCTAAGATAACAGAAGGTGGGAGGCGACAGGAAGTACCCTCATCTTCTGCAAGATCCAGAACCAGCTTTCAGAAGGGTGAAGTAAGGTTTCCAGGGCCCAAGTTTCAGGGGATGGAGGGGGGAGATATTAACATACAGAGATTAAATTATCTCAATCTCCAATCTGGCATATTTCCTAAACCTTAAATAACTTGCTAGGCTCCCATGTGGTCTTCTGAGAAACAGGAGGGCAGCTGGGAGTACTTCCCACACCCACAAGCTTTTGTGTGAAAATCTCTAAAAATAGAGGTTGTTCTTTTAAAAACAAAAGGGAAGGCAAAGCCCTGGGAATACCGACTGAGCCCCAGCTCTCTGTACCAGCAAAGAATCTTCTAATAACCACTCTCTGCAAGAGTTAAGAATCTCGAAATAGATCTACAAACAAAGGACAGAAGGGCACAGTCAAGTCCTTTGAATCTACTCTATATCCACACAGTCATCTGTATAACCACTGGAATCGTCTTCATTATTCACCTTTGGGTTATACACAGAGCCTTTTCTGGGCTAGTTTCCTGTTTGTATCACCTTCTGATGTCAGTGTGGATTTTGAAGAATCCACATCAAATTCAATGTCAGCTTGAGTTAAATACAATGAAACAAGAAATCCACCCTCTAATCATAGCCACCTACTCCCCACCACGCATAATTTTCTAAATAAGTTTCTTCAAAGTTTTATAGGCAACCTTTAAACTGAAGTATTTAAAAAAATGTTTCTTCATCTCAAGGCTAAGAAACTTGTCCATTTGCAAAGTGGGGGAGAGCAGTATATCCTACTTAATACACAGTTATAACAAAGGCAGTAACCTTTGGATAAAAACTCATGTGGAAAAATAATATCCTGCTTAGGGTGTATGCCAGGGATGTGCCCTATCCCCATACCTTTTCAACCTGTATGCAGAACAGATTATCTGAGAGGCTAGGCTCTATGAGGAGAAGTGTGGCATCAGGATTGGTGGAAGATTCACCAATAATCTGTGTTATGCAGATGACACAACCCTGCTTGCTGAAACTAAGGAGGATCTGAAGCACTTGCTGCAGAGGGTCAAGGACTTCAGCCTCCAATATGGATTGAGGCTCAATGTCAAGAAGACAAAGATTTTCACCACTGGGACAATTGACAGCATCAGGATGAAATTGTTAACAGCTTTAGCTTACTTGGCTCCATGGTCAACACTCTTGGCACCACCAGCCAGGAAATTAAAAGACATATTGAGGTGAGGAAGTCTGCTGTTAGAGACCTCTCCAAAGTACTGAAGAGCAATGGTGTCACTGTGGAGACTAAGGTGTGCCTGATATATGCCATGACCTTTGCAATCATTTACTATGAGTCAGAGTTGGACAATGACTAGGGAGGACAGAAGGAGAATTGATACCTTTGAGCTGTGGTGCTGGAGAAGAGTATTGAATATACCATGGAGTACTAAGAAAATGAGCAGGTTCATCCTGGAGAGCATTAAACCAGGCTGCTCCTTGGAGGCAAGGATTCTGAAACTTCGTCTGACATACTTTGGACATGTTGCAAGTAGGGACTAGTCCTAGTAGAAGGACATCATACTTGGGAGGGTGGAGGGACAGCACAGGAGAGGAAGACCCTCTATGAGGTGGATTGATTCAGTGACTGGGGTAATGGGGGTAGGTGTGTCAGAGACAGTGAGATTGGCACAGGATAAGGCAAGGTTTAGGTCTGTTTTATATAGGGTCGCGACAGGTGAGTCAAGGGCACATAACAACAACAACGATCTTTTGAACAGAGAAATTATCTTTTTAAGATACTGCTCTACATGACAGCGAGGTCCGGTAGCATAGTGTTATGGAATTGTACAGTCAACACAAAGGCACATGGTTCAAATCTACCAGCTGCTACACAGGAGAAAGATGGGCAGTCAACTTCTATAAGATTTACTGACTCTGAAAACGCACAGAACTGATCCTGATATGACAGTACATGACAAAACAACACCTCTACATGACCTCTGTGTGTATATATAAAAAGACAGGTGTATAAAGCTGTTTATTGCATTATTAACTTGTAATAGTTGAGAGTTGTTATATGCCGTCTAATCAGAACGGACTCATAGCTGCCCCTCCAGTGGGTTTTTAGAGGCTATAAATGACACTGGAAGAGATTGCTCATCTTTCTACTTTGGAGTGACTGGCGGTTTTAAACCAGCTGTCTTTGGGTTGGTCATGGAACTCCTTATCCACTACACCACTAATGAGGGAAGGAGGAGAGGGAGAAAGAACCACCTAAATGCTCACCAGTGTTGTTGTTATGAGCCATAGAGTCACTTGTGACTCATAGCAACCCTCTGTACAACAGCTCTGAAGCCTGCTCTGTCCTGAGCCAGTCTCATTGACTCCAACACACCTAACTCCATTACCCTAGTCATCACTGAGTCAATCCATCCGTCCTCTCTTGCACCATCCCTTTACCTTTCCAAGCATGATGTCCCTCTCCAAGGACTGGTCCCTCCTTGAAACATACCCAACATATGTCAGAGTTTCAGAATCCTTGCCTCTGAGGAGCAGCCTGGTTTCACACTCTCTGGGACAAACCTGTTTGTTCTCCTAATGGTTCATGGTATATTCAATACTTTTCTCCAGCATCACAGCTCAAAGGCATCAATTCTCCTTCTATCATCCTTAGTCATTTCTGGCTTTCTTATCCATATCAATAAATTGCAAAAATCATGGCCTGGACCACCTTAGTCTCCAGACTGACATTATTGCTTTTCAGTACTCTGGAGAGGTCCCTGACAGCAGGTTTTCCCAGTGCAAGTCATCTTTTGGTTTTCTCGCTGTTGGTACCAAGCAAACTGAAGCTGTTAACAATCAGTCTCTTCACCATCTATCATAATGCTGCCAATTGGCTCACTGGTGTGAATCTTTATTTTCTTGATGTTGAGCTTCAATCCATATTGAAGGCTGTAGTCCTTGACCTTCTGCAGAAAATACTTCAGGTTATCCTCAGTTTCAGCAAGTAGGGTTGTGTCATCTGCACAATGCAGGTTGTCTATGAGACTTCCTCTAACCCTGATGCCACATTCCTCCTCATAGAGCCCAGCCTCCCAGCTGATCTGTTCTGCATACAGAATGAAATGTATGGAGATAGGATGCGTCCCTGGTACACGCCTTTCCTGATTTTGAACCATGCAGTGTTTCCTTGCTCTGTTCTGACTACTGCCTCCTGGTCCAGGTATAGTTTTCACATTAGCACAATCAAATATTCTGGGATTCCTATTCTTCTCAGAGTCAGACACAGTTTGTTGTAATCCACACAGTCAAATGCCTGTGCTTAGTCAATGAAACACAGATAGACATTCCTCTGGTGCTCTCTGATTTCAGCCAAGATCCATCTGACATTGGCCATAATATATATATAGTGCCATGGCCTCTTCTAAACCCAGCCTGCACATCTGGCAGTTCTGTTGATGTGCTGTTCCAGTCGTTTTGGAATAATTTTCAGCAGGATCTTGCTTGCATAGAATATTAATGATATTATTCAATAATCTCTGTTCTTTGTTGGGGCACTTTTTTTTAAATGGAAATAAATATAGGTCTCTTCTAGTCAGTTGGTCAGATTTCTTGGCACAACTTTGTGAGCACATCCAGGGCAGCATCTTTGTTGAAATGGGTAAATTGGTATGCCATCAATTTCTGGGGCCTTGTTTTTTTTGTCAAGTCCTTCAGAGCAGCTTAAACTTTCATCACCATAGGCTCTTGATGATACGTTGTTTCAGGAAATTCTTCTGTGTCAGCCAATTCTTTGGTAAAGTGACTCTGTATATTCCTTCCATCTTCTAAGGTCATTTAATATTCTTCCCAAAGCATCCTAAAGTATTGCAATTTGAGACTTGAATTTATTCTTCAGATCCTTCAGCTTAAGAAATGATGAACGAGTTTGGCCTTTTTTATTTTCTGGCTCCAGCTCTTTGCATATTTCACTGTAATACTTTGTCTTCCTGAGCTGCCCTTTGAAATCTTCTGTTCAGCTCCTTAACTTCTTTATTTCTTCCCTTTGCTTTGGCTTCTCAGCATTTTAGTGCAATATTTAAAGTCTCTTCTGCCATCCATCTTGGTCTTTTCTTCCTCCTCTGTCTCTGTAATGACCTTTTGCATTTTCCTGGATGATATTCTTGACATCCTCCCACAACTCATCTGGTCTTTAAGCATTAGTGTTCATGGCCTCAGACTTGTTCCTGAGGTGGTTTTGAAATTC